GCCCCACCGTCACCTAGTATAGTGTTTTGGAATGAAGGTACTTGTTCTGCAGAATTTGGGCCCACGTGGCGTCCGTCTCTATAGATAGCTTATACAGCCACTTGCTGAGTAGACATCTGTTCTTCACCTCTAAGTTTTCAATGCCGAGACCCCCTTGGTCTTTCGGTCTACAAATGATATCCCATTTAGCGAGTCTGTATTTTCGTTTTAATTCATCACTCTACCGGAAGAAGCGCGGTCGATAGAAATCTAGCCTTTTCCGGACTCCAACTGGTACCTCAAAAAAGGACAAGAGAAACATAGCATACTCGTGAGTACCGAGTTAATGAGAATTAGTCGGCTACCATATGACATAAGCTTGCCCTTCCAGCAGCTTAGTTTTTTTTTCAAATCAATTCTCAATGCACTTTCATTCTTTGTTAGAAAGCTTGCGATGGTGGATTGGTATACCCAAATACGTGAAGGGTAAAGACCCCAATTCGCACCCGAACAATTGTTTGTAAGCTTCTTGTTCATCTTTAGCTCTTCCAAAGCAGAACAATTCACTTTTATGGAAGTTAATCTTTAACCCCGATAGTTGTTCGAACAGACATAACACAAGCTTCATGTTCCTTGCTTTTGCCAAATCATGCTCCATGAAGATGATAGTATCATCAACGTACTGTAGGATCGACACTCCGCCGTCCACTAAATGCGAAACGAGGCCACCTATCTGGCCGTCATCCTTAGCCCTTCCTATTAGGATTGTCAACATGTCATCCACTATGTTGAAAAGAATCGGTGACATCGTGTCCCCTTGCCTCAGGCCGTTGTGTGTCTGGAAGTAATGACCTATGTCATCATTCACTTTGATTTCAACACTCCCTTTTTGCGTGAAAGAATCTATCGGGTTTCTCCAGGACTGATCGGATCCTTTCATACGCAATGCCTGCTGAAGGAATGACCATTTCACCTTATCGTACGCTTTTTCAAAATCCACTTTGAAAACCACCCCATCTAGTTTTTTCGTGTGGATTTCATGGAGCGTTTCATGCAGGACCACAACCCCTTCTAAGATGTTACTGTCCGGCATGAAAGCAGTTTAAGAAGGCTGCACACAGCATGCGCAATCTGCGTAAGCCTATTTGTCCCAACCTTGGTGAAAATTTTAAAGCTGACATTAAGAAGACATATCGGCCTGAACTGTTCAATCCGCACTGCCTCTGTTTTCTTAGGAAGCAAAGTAATTGTTTCGTAGTTCAAGTGAAACAGCTGCAACTGTCCACAAAATAAATCATGGAACATCGGGAGCAAGTCACCCTTAATAATGTGCCAATACTTCTTATAAAACTCCGCCGAAAAACCATTCGGCCCTGAAGATTTATTATTCTTCATTTGTGAAATTTTCAAACACTTCTTTCTCCGAAAATAGGGCAGTCAAAATATCGTTCTCATCCGCTGCAAGTTGAGGCACATCCTCAACCCTGGACTCATCCAAGGATACGAAATTATCCTCAGGAGGTCCAGCCAACTGCTTATAGTAGTTGGTGATGTATAGTTTTAAGTTTTCCTGTCCTAAAATCGTCCCCTCATCTTGCTCGAGCTGAAAGATTCTCTTCTTTCGATGTTTGCCATTCGCAATCATGTGGAAGAATTGAGTGTTATCATCCCCTTGGACGATTTTGCGAACTTTAGCTCGCAGTGCCCACTTCAATTCCTCCTCTCGAAGAAGTTCTTTCAGTCGCATCATCGCGTCCACTTTAGTTTCCAACTCCATGGTATCTAGAATGGAGGACTCGGCTTTTAAATCTAGGGATTGAATAAGTAAAAGGAGCCTTTCCTTTTCAATCTTATATATCCCACTTAAATGTTGGGCCCATCCACGTAAGAAACGCCTTAGATGCCTTATCTTGTTTTGCCATCGCTCAACATTCGACCTCCCTCCCGAACCTTTAGCCCATTCTCTGGCTATCAGATCCAAGAACCCTTCTCTTTCAAACCACGCTAATTCGAAAGAAAAAGTGTGCTTGTTTCCAAGAACCCTTCTCTTTCAAGTCCTCGATGCTTGATTTAATATCATCGATGATCATAGAGCTTGCCCCTTTGTAGTTTGACCGCAGGTGATTGACAGTGGAAATACAGTTGGTAACCACATGTAACTTACGTATTTGTAGATCACGTGCTAAGTCACATGCTTCTCTCACAGGTAAGCACTCCAGAACTTCCGGGTCTAACATCCCATGCATCACCATCGCCGACGCTCCCACATATCGACCTTCATGATCACAACAAATGGTCACCAACGCTCCCTTATAATCATCCCCATGGACCGCAGCATCCACATGGATTTTGTGAAAGTCCACAGCTGGTGGAGTCCAGTTCTTCCTTCTTCCTTGATTTACCACTACAGCCGATGGGGTCTTCTGCTTCTTGCTAGAGATCAAAGAGAGGTCCTTCAGATAATTTTGAATAGAAGTCAATGTTGACATCGGGGACTAGAAAATCTTCTCATGAATTGCTTTCCTCCCGACCCACCACATCGACCAAAGTGTCACCACTAGCATGATAAACTCTTCATTTCTCATAGAATCTTTCATCTGCATGATCCAAATTCTAACATCAGGTGACTTGCATGAAACCAAAGTTCCACTAAGTCTTCATCAAGTAGAGTCCGGATGCATTTTGACATGTTACAATCTATCAGGGTGTGTCGCCAACTGCCCTCGACACTTCTGCAGATTGGGCAAATATTTGTGTCCGACATATTTCTGTGATTGCACATATCTTCCATCGGGATAGAATTCCTTGCCAGCCTCCACACAAAGTTCTCGATCTTGCTTGGTACATTACGTTTCCAAATATCTCTTCATTCTCTGTTTATCGCAGCCAGTATGCGGAATAGGACAGATTATTGGACATGACATTATGAAAAGAGTGGCGAATGCACTGCACTGTACAAGATGGGAGGCGAGCAAATGCTCACCTTCCCCGGCCTGCACCAGAGTAAATGGGCCCACCTAGGTAAATGAAGACCCGTCCTCGAGAACATGTGAACCCCTGGTATCTTTTTTTCTTATTAATTTTCGATCAGATATTTTATTTACTTCAGTCGGTTTTCTATTAAAATAATCTCTAATGTTTTATAAATATTACATGAATTTTAAAATTTTAGAATATTTTCTGAAATACTATTGAATTTAAAAGAAGTTCTAAAAGATTATTCTTAGTCTTTTTGTTTTGTGGAATGGCCACGTGCGGCGATGTGGGTGTGCTAACGGGAAATAATGTTTTTTTTTGCGGGGAAACGGATAATAATGTTGTGAGATACTCCCTCTGTAAAGAAATATAAAAGCATTTGGATCAAATAGTGATCTAAACACTCTTATATTTCTTTACGGAGGGAGTAGTAGTGCAAGCGCTGGTTGAGAAATAGACGCAACATCTTGTTGCCACCTTTTTTTTTGGGGTATCTTTTTTGCCACCTGAGAACTAGTACCTTTTTCCCAAGCTTCACAACAACAGCATTTGCCAACACGCCAGCCCACAACATACAAAACAACATTCCTCTGATCTGGGCTGAGCTAGCCGGCTAGCTAGGCGTGGGCGTTGAGAACTTGAGATAGAAACTACGGTAGACAGACAATCGACACAAACAAACAAACAAACAACGACACGGTGGTGGGCTTGTTCTTTATGGACGCCACACTGACGCCATACTTAGACGAGACATAATTATTAGCGGTGCAACGCCGGTTTTGGTGCACAGGGGTGTCGGCGTGCTTGGACGGGCGAGGCGACAAGCTGCAAATCGACAAGATGGCGAACTACGGCCGACGAGACGCCCTTCACACGACCAACGACGGCGAGCCATTAGCGGTGCAGCGAGCCGGGGAAGTCGAGCGGTACCATCGGAGTACGGCCGGCATCCTGCCTGTTAGGATGAAAATGGAGTGGAAACTTTCTGTTTTTCCGGTGGAAAAATGAAAACGAAGAGAAAATATGAAAACGAAAACGGAAATTTGTGTTTCTGTAGATATGAAATTTTTTATGCGAAAACAGAAACAAAAACGGAACGGTTTTTCCGGTGGAACATGCATGGAAACGGAACTTTCTGTTTCTGTAGATATGGAATTTCTGTTTTTACTATAGACCTATAGCTGCTTTGTAGCCCAAACACCAAAGAGAACACAATGACACAATTAGTAGAAAGGATCTGAGGCCCAACTTCTACTACCACACATGTACTCAGCTTGACCCTATACGCAATTGTCCAGTATTACTATAATACTATGCTAAGTTACTAACATAATGATATTATTTTGTAGCCATGTAACAACTCATTAAATTTGTTTGTTTTGTGTGTATTTCTATATGATTCAAGGGGTTTTTAAGTTTCGATCAATGCATATTTCTGTTTCCGTATCCGCTTTGTATTCGCTCCGTGTCCGTTTCCGGTAGTATCTGTTTTCATATTCATTTCCGGGGTTTCTGTATTCGTTTCCGCTTCTGTAAAAAAATGTGAAAACAAATATGATAGCACTCAGTTCCGTCCGTTTCCGCTCGGTTTCATCCCTACTGCCTGTGGCGAGGCTTGGGGCGGACACGCTCTTGCGTGCTTTCTCCGTGCGGTGTGACTAGCAGCAAGAGAAAGGGAAGAAAATGATGAGATGGGAAAAAGGATCCAACGGCCGTGCGGCGACTAGCCGAATTTTGGGTCGACCGGCGCCTAGCGTCCGCCTAAACTTTCTCGTCCCGTGACAAGCACACGTAACTTCAGTTGGTCACAGTATAATCATGGTAGGTAACCTGTCCGCCTGTGTGAGAGTAATCAGCAAACAGTAATCACCTGCCCTGCCTGTCCTACCATGGTAGCTGGAATCACTTGTCGCTTTCTGATGACCCACCTCCATAAGTTAGATACCCAAAACCTTTCAATTCGGTGTTGGATTCTACTGCACAGACGAACCCGAGCTGTATAAGGTCCACGATAGACAAGGGAAAGAGAGAAGCCGTCGGACACCATGGGTAAAGCTTCCTTGCCGTTCCCGAGTCTCATCGTTCCCCTCGTTCTGCTTCTTCTGCCGCTCTCGCGCCCGGCGTCGGTGGTGACCCATCTCCCCGGCTTCCATGGCCGCCTTCCCTTCCACCTGGAGACCGGGTAAGCAAAGCTTCTGCCTCTCCCTGCAAGCTTCCTTCTTCTTCAAGTGCGCTTCTGCAGGTACGTCGGCGTGGACGAGGAGACGGGGGCGGAGCTCTTCTACTACTTCGTGGAGTCCGAGAGGAGCCCCGAAACGGACCCCCTGATCCTGTGGATGACGGGTGGGCCCTTCTGCTCTGGCATGATTTTCTTCGAAGTTGGTGAGACCCTTTATCGTCCTCCCTTCCTCTTGTGTTTACTAGCTAGCTTTGCTAGAAGCTGGCTGCCGTTGCTGTCAACTACTACTGGAGTACATCAGAATCAGATTAAGTTAAAGAGTGAAGTTCACCTTTTATTAATCTCTAATTTGAAGCTAGCTGAGCAAATCATCGGAGTATGAAAATATGTATCAGGTTTTTCGCCTTTTAACGGGCCTGTCAATTTTACAGGATACTCCCTCCGTAAATAAATATAAGAGCGTTTAGATCACTAAGTATATTTTTTTACATGCTAGTAGGAGCAGTTGAGCAGTTGACCTGATCAAACTCTCCACAAACTGAATATGCAAAATGATCTACTAGCTAAATTTGGAAAATATGCGAACATCTTGGAATGCTGAATTCCATGGACTTAGTGCACAACTAATTGCACATCAGGTAGTATCTACTCATGGGGTTGAGCTAAAACTAAAAAGAGACGGGAAGAAAATGGTGTATCAATTAGCGTAAGGGCCCGATATCATTTGCAAACCTGATAATGTGGTGTCAGATTACAAGATGAAAAGCGTAATTCATTATGCAGAGACCGAATTATCTCTCTTGTCCTTCTTACTCTTGGCTAGGGCCAAGCCAACAAAGCAACCCAGCAAGACGCACAAATGCATACAACTTTCATGTTTTAGACAGTGAAAGGCATTTTCCGAGTCTCTACTCTAGATGACTGAATGCACAGACAATTTTTTGCTGAAAACGAGCTTGTAATTTCTTTTCAAAAAGTGAAGAACACTATGTCATGTTTTCCCAGTTTTGCTCTACTAAAATAACTAGTTTATCCCACCGAACACCTCCATAGTGCTTTCGCCACCAGGTAGATCTTTATTCGTACTTTATTTTAATAACGTCAGTGATATTTTCTCCGCAGGTCCTATGAAATTTGTGTTGGCACCGTATAATGGTAGTTTGCCACAGTTGACCTATAATCCCTATTCATGGTCCAAGGTGAGATATTATTTAATCTTAACGTTGATGACGTCCCTCTCAACATCTCCATTCAAGCAAGCATGCAACTTATATTCAAAAATTTCAGACAGCAAGCATCACCTTGTTGGACTCACCAGTTGGTACTGGTTTCTCGTACGCTCGTGATGTCAAAGGTTATCACGATATTGGGGATTTTTCCTTTTCTATGCATGTCGTGATATTTCTCAACAAGGTGAAACCAATGTCTCTATGTACTTCAGTTGAAGTTGAGAAAAAAGTGTGTGATTCTCTTATCGTCTAATGCATGTGATGCAGTGGTTTACCGACCACCCACACTACCAATCCAATCCTTTCTTTGTTGGAGGAAGTTCATATGCTGGAAAGATGTCTCCAATTATTGCACAACACATTTCGCAAGGTAGGTCTGGAATCTGGATACAGATTCTAAAATAAATAAGGACATGATAATCTGGTAATTCCAATTGCAGCAAAGAAAAGTTAAGATAAAAATTTGTAGGACATCATCGGGATATGTAGTGAATAATCAAATGTTCCAATTCTAGTTTGGAGTTATTTGTGATTGATCATGGCCTCATCTCCTAGTAGTTCTAACATGATATTCCTTTTGGCTTCAGAAATCGAACTGGGGAAGCAACCCAGGATTAATCTCAAGGCAAGTAAATTGCCGAAAAAGGGTTTCCCCCCGCTTTGTATACAAAGCAACCAACCGAATCATACAGGGATAGGTGCTGGGGCGGAAGCAGCACAGTCACGCCCAAAAGAAACAACAGAGAAAGAGCAAAAGAAACAAATGCCGACAACGGCGGATCAACAAAAACGAAGAAGTCTCGCGATCGCTAGGCCCACCGAGCTCATCCACTAGGCTCCAAGACTCCGAAGCGCCGGCACCAATCAACACCTCCAAGAAGGATCGCGACGATGACGACGCTGCTGCCAAGGGTTTCCCCCGATACACGACGAGGCGAGAGGAAGAGAAGCCCCCGACGCCCTCCCGGAAGGACAGGCGGCACCCACAGGCGCCACCGCGCCGGAGTTGGCCACGCCGACAGGGGTTTCCCCCGATCCCAACCCGCACCTCGGGCGCTTCGGATCCCGCCACCAAACCAACCACCACCCTGCGCCAACGCGGTTGTGAGGCCTCCACGCCGTCTCACCACGGCACCGCGAAGTGAGGACAGCACGACGAAGAATCAAAGCCGGGAGTAGGGCATCAGCACCATCGGCACGCGGGAGGGCCCCACCTCCACTGTCAGCGACAGTAGCCGTCCGGACGCAATAGCAGGAGCACACCAGGCCCGTAGGCCCACAGGCCCGGCCGAGCCCTCGTGGGCCCGTAAAGCTCCTGCCTTCGCGCTGCTGCCGGCACGCCATCGGCGCCGACGCCCCAAGTCCGAGCCGCTCCTCCTCCTCACCACGCCGCAGACAACGAGACCATGCCGGGGGGCCGGCCCGCTAGGGCCCCATCTGGGCCCGACGTGCCCAGATCTGGGCCGGGGGCGCGACGACGGCCACCCAGCACCACCACGTCGCCTCGCCGCCAAGGAGCGGCGCCGTCACCACGCCGGCCGCCACCACGGGGCCGCCAGACCGCAGCCAAGCCGAGCTGCACCGCCGCCGCCTCCCTGCCCCGGGAAGGGAGCACGCGCGCGCGGGGACTG